TATATATATATAGTGACGTACCTGAGAGCGGTACTTCCACGACTAATAAATTATGCGAGGGACAGGTACATTTTCGTTGAATGGCGTCTCCAAGGAATTTGGCCCGCCAGCATAGGAAAGATAATCGTTATGAGTTGTTTTGCACACTCTAAATATTTTAATGATCAGAGAACACACTTTACAAATAGTATTAACCAAATCGCATTGCACAGCCTTGGAAACAAGCGCACGGTCAAGCTAGCCTCGATGTTTTTAAAAACACTGTTTCCTCTGGAGGCACGAAGGCCGTCGTGGCAAACGGCTGGCGGTAGGCTTCGGCAAGCTTCGGTTCGCCCCGAAGTCCGCGCGGGAACGCCCTCCTCGGCGACTAACTACTCTGGCCCAACGTAGCGGCCACGAATTCGCCGGGGTCCACCCCAGCGGTGTGAACAATGTATCACGGGTACTGAAACGCACACGCGTGATTGATTGTTGCTCGGCTGTTCTTGGGTTCTTTTCAGCAACCTTACTCAACTTCGCGCGAATGTCCGTAAGCACTGCCCATGTTTATTATCCAGGGCGGGATTTAAACACTAGCCCACGTGCCAACGATTTCTGTCTTATTGGTTTTTATCAAAGATCTGGGCACGCACTTCTACTTCCACTATCATACTGGACTGTTAATCTTTATCAAACCTGTGTCCACATTCAGCGGCCACACTCAGTTTTCGAACTGCACTTGACAACGACATAAATCTCTTGAACGCACACTGCCCCGTCCGTGGCTTTCACACTCGAGGACCTCTCCGCGACCACTAACCGTCGCTCGTCTCGCGTTTCCCCCTCCCGATTTGACCGTTGTGGGTGGTGGCGGCGGCGTTTTACTGCGCTGATCAAACTCAGTACCTTTATTTTAATTTTATATATGATCATTTAATTGTTTCTAATTACAGAATCGTTCCTTCGTCATAGTTATACTAATATATATATATATTATATATATATATTAATTAATATTATATTATATATATTAATAGACAATGAGCGCATTGACCCATCGCACAGCGCGAGCCTTGCGTCACGCCCTTTTTAAATAATCCCAAGCGAAGGGCGCTTTAGGGCACAATTCTCTTGGGCAGCTGGCGCGCACCGCCACCCCAAGGATTTCCCGGCGTTCGCGCGCGCCTTCGGACCCCCCCCTTCCACGATCTTTTGTGTTTGGCAATAGGAGATTGCCGGAACAGTCGTATTAAGAGACTCGGGGACAGCTCGCTAGCTAATCCCTAAGGAGCAATAAACCATAAAGCTTCGTAAAAGAGTCGCCGACGTCGAATCACGCAGGCACTAGATGGAGAACAATAAACAACCAATTACATGTTAAGAAGTGAAGGCTACAAAGATGTGTCCCCTTAACGCAATCAAAAATATATTACAAATTATAGAATATATATTTATTACAAATATATTGTAATAAAGTTTATGAGACGATACAAATATAGCTGCAAGTTATCTGGATCGTCGCTAATACGTTTTTGTATATTTTATTAAACAATTTCAATTGGATACACAGAACAATAATCATGTTAATAATATATATTGTGTGAGAGGGAATGGAAAATAAGGATAGAGTAATGAGGTATGGGATAGAATTTTGAAAATAGAGAGCGGGAAAGTACGGTGTTTTTCGGGAGCGGTGCCCGGGCCCTTGGAAGTGGGAAAAGTCTGGAGACTGAAGATGTTAACGCCATTCTATAAGTCGTTATTTCTTACCCATGTGGTTAATTCATTTTTGAATTTACGGAAAGTATTTTAATTTTTTAGACGCTGGTAATTTATTCCAAGCTCGGATAGCTGTAATAGTGAATAATCTACTGAACAAAGGTGTGTTGTGACGTGGTATACAAAGCAGAGCTGAATCACAAGCTCGATTTAGTTTCAGAGAATTGAACCTTGAGGGACTTATGGAGCATATTAAGAGAAAACCGTTAAAAATTTTATAAAGAAGTAGAGAGTAGAGTAACCGCCTTTTGTTGAGAGTAAGCATATGAATTCTGTCAAAAAATACGATACATGGTCGTATTTTCGTAGATCAAAAATTAATTGTACGCCTTGAAGTTTACGTTGTAATTTTAGTGCCATGTTGGTCAGAAGAAAGTCGCAATAGTCGAAATGTGGCATAATAAGTGATTTGATAAGAGCCTCACGTGTGGTAGTTCGTAAAAGTGTTCGCAGGCGTTTCAGTGCATTGAGGCAAAAACTTTACGGCAGTTTGAGTCTATACTGCGATTTTCGCAACTCTGCCCCTGGCAGGAATGTGCTGTTGACAGTTTCATTTATTCGGTAGTTTGAATGAAACCGTCAACAACTGATACGTGCCAGGGGCAGAGTTGCAAAAATCGCAGTATGCTTGCGCGTTCCAACTGAGTGTTGTCGATAAATACACCTAGGTTCTGGACTTCGGAGCACCAAGGTTCAACGGTGTAATTTGTAATAAATATTAGCCAGAGCAAAAGATGAAATTTTATTCATAGTACTCTTCAAACTGATAATCACTGTCCAGTTGTTTACCGTTATCAAATCTTCGTTAACTTTTTGTACGAATAAGAAGAGGTGAGACGGGTGACCGCTTAGGTGTATCTGGAGATCATCCGCATACATTTGATGACTGCAATATTTAAGTGAATTGCCTACGTCATTTACATATATTATGAAGGCCAGTGGCCCTAAGACATTGCCTTGAGCAACTTCGCGGTTACGTTTCAAGTCACTTGAGCTGCGCTTACCGGACACCTTTCATTGGGTTCTTGAAATTAAGTAATTAAGAAACCATGTGTGCGTGTAATGTGCAAATCCCATGATTTTTAGTTTTGCGAGCAAGATGTCACGATCTACTTAATCGAACGCTTTGCTCAAATCCAGAAGAATCAAGATATATTACTGTAATATATTGCTGTCAATAAGTAGCATACGATACAGTAGCACTGCTATTGCATTCCCGCCGGAAAGGAAACCTGATTGCTGATCGTTTAAAAGTGATTTTTTCGAAGATATAGTTCAGTTTGTAGAACGTAGAGATAGTCGGGAGGATGCTAATTGGGCGGTATTCAATAGAGTTTTTGATTGATGCTGCCTTGGGAATAGGATTCGCGAGCGCAGTCTTCCAGGATAAATGATATTGTCCGTTCATTAGAGAGATTTATTATTTCTGTGATCATTGGGTCAATCACATCTAGGCTATTTTTTAGCAGACTAGAATTTATACCATCGGGACGTGAAGTACTTATTTTGAAACTTTGAACGATTTTCATTATATCCTGATGTACAATGGACGAAAAGAAAAATTCGTCATTGGATTTTGTTGCTGAATTTTGGAAAAGCGCAAGAGATTGCCTTTTCAAGTTCCTGTCAAATGAAGGAACGTTATTTATTTAACTACAATTTAGTGATTTTAAGGGGATATTCGTTTCAATTTGGGGAGGAATTTTCTATTCCTAGATTTTTCCAAATCGTTCTCGAGTCGCGGTTTCTGGCGAAAGTGGTATGGTAATATTTCATCTTAGCGTTGAGGCATTTCTGCGTAACTAAATTTCTGAGCATTTGTACTGTTTTTAAGTACTTTGCATTTAGTTTCCCAGAACACAACGTACACTGCATCTCGATCTTTCATTAAATATCGGATTTCATCTGTTAACCATGGTGCAGGAGGACGAGTTGCGCGCGAAATATTTGAAGGTGCGTGCTGGTCACAGAGCTTTGTTATTAAGTTAGTGAAAATCGCCACTATCCAGAGGTTTTTCTTCGTGTACAAGGTGCCATGAAAGTGTCAATCCTTCTTTATTAAATGCTTGTTTATCGAATTTTGAAATATCGCGATATTTTATTAAATGAGGTGAGTATTTAGGTCACTTCAAGTTGTAAACAACATAAATTAGGTCGTGATTTTAAATCCCAGGAATTGAAAACTGAACGTGTTTTCGAACTTTGTTTGTATTAGATACTTTAATATGACCGATCCAGGTTTCCATGCTCTTAAATGCCGTTAAAAAGTGGTCGCTAATGACTTAGATGTTAATACGACCTGAAATATCATTAAAAGGTTTCGTCGAATACATCTATGATGTCTGTCTTAGGAGGTAAATATATGACAGCCGAGAGACATTTTTCTCTAAATGTCCAACTTCGATAAAAATATATTCACCGCGTAGGCAATCTGTATTTGTTGAAGATAGTACAAGTTTATGCCTAAGATCTTCGCGAATGTAGATACCGACGACTCCACCGTGTGCGGCGAAGCTGGCCTTCCGATCATCTCTTTTCAAGCGGAACCCTCAAATTGCTACTAGCGCGGTACTGAGAGAATGCTTTAATCAGGTATTTCTTATGAGAAGCGCATGAAAACAGTGTTTAGATATTATTTCCATAACTTCCTCAAAATGGCAGGGCAGAGATTGGCAATTTAAGTGTGCAACATGTAGACAGAGGGAGCGACGATTAGGCTTATTTATAGTGTCAGACGCTTGGACGGTCGGGGAAAGGGTCTGGTCACCCACAGGTAACAGGTTTACAGGATGTGAAGGGAAAAAAGGAAGGTAGCATTTACAGAGAGTTTGTAGAACAAACGTTCGGAGATGAAGAGAAGGAGAATGCTCCGCAAAAAATACGAAAGTGATTGGGGCAGGGAGGTGTAGAGTAGGGGTGGAAAGGTGTGGGCGCTGCTACGCTAAGAATGAAATGCCTCCAGTTGGGCCCTGTGTCGGGAGGTCGCAGCACATCCGCTCCCTCCGCGCCGATCGCAGAATACGGTCGCGACTTCCTTTGTCACTCGCCTATTGCGAAGTTTACTTTCCGCCGACGTCCTTTATCGCCAGCGTTAGCGCTCCTTCACAAACACCCGTGCTGCATCTGCAAAAGAGCAAAACCAAAAGTGCAGTGCACGGTGTGCGTAAGCATGCACGCTCGACCGCGAGTGAGATAAATTACAGGGGAAGCAGCCGCAGCAGCGGCCGCACTTCGCCAGACATATGCCCGTCCGGATTTCGCCATTGCGCGTATCAAGAAGCCCGTTCACCACCAAAAATGATATGGAAGCCGCCAGCCGCCTCCAACAGCAACACTACCAGCTCTTCAAAAACACGCGGAGGTAAGGGCGGACGCGTAGCCTCTATTAGAGCCTCTATATCTTCTACCCCTCAGCCACCCACCCCAAACTGACTAAAGATGATGACCTCCAACAACTACGAGCTCAACCGAGCAATACTCTCTATAGCTGACCCTGACCTAACAAACGAAACTAGTATTTTCGAAACGACTACTAAAATCGCCATGCAAAACTCACGCATTACAGGAAAAATAGAATTGTCACGACAGACAAAGAGGGTTTTGTCACACCCAATCTCTTCTTTAAAGCAGGCGAAGTTTCAAACAAACCTAGCCCAGTCACCTTACCCAGCTTTTATGAATCGTTCGCCACCGCTGACGAATTCGGCGGATGCGGCGCCGATGGCGTAGCGTTTAGCGTATCAGACTGTTACACCTAAGTTGGTGGGTTCAAACCCGATCAAAGCCGTGCATTTTTAAGGCCAAAAAAAATATTCGTACGCCTTCCTTCGGAGGGAAGTAAAGTCGGCTGTCCCATGTTAGTACATTTACTTGCATGTCAAAGATCCTCAAGCCTAAATGATGCCTCTAAGCTAAATTCAAATCTCCTGTTTCGTCGCCCAAGAAATACTTCATTTCTCCGTTAGTGTGCTCCGCTAATTTTGGGCATGGAAACTTCTGTTTTGCGCCTTGAACATTATTCTTTAATTTTTCCCCGGTGTCGCTTTTATGACAAGACTTGTTGGGACCACCGCGTGCAACAAACGCAGTCGAATCGGCATTCCCTTCATCACGCAATTCAGTCGCGCACAATTCTTCAATCAACAAATTCATAGTTTGATTTTTCGGCGAAATCGTGTCCCACAAGTCTTTAAAATTGTCATATTATTTTCTCAGTGTTGATAAGAAAAGGCCATTCAAAATTCCCTCGGCCAAAATATTTTCTTTATTCCTCGTAAGTTCATACACGAACTTCTGCAGTTTCGCGACATGCGTACTGGTGTCTTGTTTGCCGTTACGCATCACTGGAGGAAACCTGACTCAATCAGCGTCGTTGCGTACTGCTGCGTTCAAACCACGCACTCACTTTTGTCCAAATCTCTTCAGCACTGGTGGTTATAACAAGTTTTAAGTACAACAGAAGCTACCCATTTCTGGTTTGTTTGTGGCCTGCCGGGAAAGCTTGTACATTGTTTAAATGCCTAAAAGTTTTCAAAAATGTTTCGTTAAAAATGCTTCTGAAATTCAGAAAAGATTCTCCTATTAATTACCAATTTCAAGAAAATAAGGCTCACCTATTCGTCACGAACAGTAATCCTGCTGACACTCGATGTTCTGGATCCAGATTTGAAGTGACTTCGAGGCGCTAGTGGAACAGGGGAAAAGGAAGTTTTATTCTATAATGAAACCTGAATTTGATTCTGATTATGTTTCTCTTGCAATTCTTTAATTATGTTATCATAATTGTTTGTAAATGAATTTAATTCAGTCATTAAGTTCATGGTCTGCCGAATTTTAAAAGAAATGAGTAGCTTCTGTTGGACTTAAAATTTGTTATATCAAAGAACAGTAAGTTTGTTTTAAATCTGTTCATTACCGAGAATTTATATTAGATTACATTTACATTTGTTAATAAGATCGATTGTATTTTTCATTAGACCTGAAGATGGGGGTGCAAAAGCTCCTGAAACGTCGAGTTTTAGAACGGAAAAACTTGAGATGTAAAATTTAATTTGTATTCATGAAATAAAATAATTAATAATTCTCCGCTGTCAATGTTTTTAAAGGGACTGGTTCTTAAGAGAAGTACTAATTAGAAAAGACAGTATAAAATACTTTTTTTAAAAGATCCCTCACACTGTTTGCATTTAGGACGAGGTTTTACTGTTCTTTAATATTCTTAAAATAATATTTTGGTTCTACTATTAGGAAACCAAAAAGTAAGAAAATTTCAAACAAATGTACTTTGGGCGTCGATAGATGGCAGCTGGCAAGAGTATATGGCAAGCCGAGACCAAAGGAAATAGAACACTGATACGAGAAAGTCTGTGTTATTATGTAGAACCACTAGTTACTTTCTCGTATATGTACGTATATACGGAGTAATATATGTAGTATACAGAAAATTATGTAATGGTGCGGAAAATCGATTTCGAGATTTCAACGGAAATAGACATTTTGGGGTCCCCTGATACCGAAAAAGTGTAGTTTCTTTTAACATCCGTCTGTCCGTGCGTCCGTCTGTCCGTCCGTTTTGTCTGTCTGTCCGTCTGTGAACACCACTAGCACCTAAACCATACGTAGAAATTTTTCCAAAATGGATATTCTCTGGTCGATCTGGTCGGGGTACTTTACATGAAGCCCCCTGACATTTTCAAAATTTTCTCAAAAACAGCTCCAAATTTGTCTCCAAATTTCTTGTAAAAATAGAGTAAAATACACTTATTAAAATGGCATAGGCCCTATTTTCACGGTTAATTCTTGAATTTTCGAAAATTGCAAAGTTTGAATTTTTTTCGGCGTCTTCCTACAACTTTAAAGTTGGTTCACAGTAGAGAAATATTTGTATCTCGCGCTGCTCTGTCGATACATTCGTCGATATTCCTCTAATCGATTTTAGCTCGAGTGTTTGTTTTCATGTTTCATTCGCGAGGTATAATACGGTTGTGGAACACCGTGAACATTTGATCGGTGTTACAGTGATTCAGTGCAAAGAGTGGAATTAAATTTTGAAGTTAATGTTTATTTTGATTTTCAAAATTTGTTCGTTATTTTAAGTAATTAAACGGTTATTTAACCACTCCAAATTAAGGAGAAATCCATAAAATCCGGTGAAGAATGAGTAAGAAAAAGATTCCCAAAAAAGTGAATCCTAATGAAGATGAACAAGAAAGACTTCATTTTCTGAGGATCGTGTCAGCCTTTAACTATTATAGGTACCCTTCGAAACCTGTTTTTTGTTTTGTTTTGTTTTTATTTTAGTAGGTTGCATTGAAGTTAGGATATTGGATTTATAATACATTCTAATTGCAAAGTTTGTGTCTTGATAGACTTCAAAATATTAGTTTTAGATTTTGACAGCTTCAGTAAGGACATTTCTGTAGAGAAATGTGTTATGAAATGTATTGTGTTTTCACATTTTTGGTTGTCATGTCATTGTGTCCAAGTTATTGGTGTATTTGTATTAGGGTATGTGATTCAATGTTTTGATGGCATTTTGTGTGGGAAATAATGTAAAAACAGTGTTAATTCTGATGTTGAATTATGACCTCAAACTCAAGTTAAGAGGAGTGTGTTGTAGTAATTTAAAAAATGCAAAATTGTGTGGTACCTTCATTTGTACAAAATTTTTGACAAAGAATGTAAGCATAAAAAGAAAGTGTCTACTTATATAATTTCATTGTAATCTAATATTGAAGCTGTAATTTATAACAAAAAGCATTGTGTTTCATTGAAGTATGATTTTTTTTAATGCGCCTAAGAATTTAGCAGCAATGCAAAGGAAAAAGTTTTGTATACATAATTATGATTTAATTTAACCAAGGAAGTATTTTTAAAAGATCCTATATTTACTTTTTCCTATGTTTGCACACTATTGAAAATAATGTAGATTTACCTGCAAGATGTCAATTTTTGCGGGACAAACGTGTTTGGTTTTGCATACGCTTCTGGAAACCACTAATAATGTTGCTTTGGATGTTGCCTCTTTTTTGGACTTCAAGTTATGTAATATTTAAAAAATAGTATTTTAAAATGTTAATAGAATATCTGTGTTAAGCAGATATTACTTAAACGTGATACATTGAAATAATCATTTAATTTATTAAATTAATTTTCAGAATTCACTCACTCCAACGAGTTACAAAGACTGAAACTTATCTTGCTGCATTGCCTGCAAACCACCAAGCCCTTCTTGCAGATTACAAAGGACACCTACGAGATATAAAAACCTGCATAGAACGAAACCATCGGATCATACAATTGATTATCAAGGATGTGGCATACATGTTTGAGAATGTTGTAGCACCTCCTGAACCAGTTGTAAGATTTTGATTTTTTTAATGTCTTGCTATGATTCAATTACGTATTTAAGTGAAGAATGAAAACAAGTATATAGCAGAATTTTGGTTTGCTAAAAACGTTTTGGTTGCAGACGGTGAGCCCAATGCCAGGAGTAGCAGACCTTGAAAAAGTTCAAGCAACTCTTAAGCAGTTTGTCCGTGACTGGAGCCAGGAGGGAGCTGCAGAACGTCAAGCATGCTACCAGCCAATTATTGATGAGATTATAGCCAATTTTCCTCCTGATCAGTGGTAAACAACCATGCACAAAACCTGCTTTATTTCCAGTTTGTGTATTATTCATATTGGGATTGGCTTTGGAATAATCTTCAAATTATATTACAAATGTTGGGCCAACAGGCTCGCTCTTCCACCTTACCACTCAATTTGAAATTTGCAAGAAACAAAACTGTGGTAAATTTTGTCTACAATTGCATTTGTATTATCAGGTTTTGTTTTGTTTATTTTATTTTATAACAGGTATGATTCCTTCATGTATGAAAATATAAGAAATGTTTAGCAAAACCTCTCTCTGTCATTCACTGATCTGTATTTCTCCCTCAGTAATACTTTGCAAGACTAGGATTCATATTAACTGACTGTTAGACTGTTGTATCTCATATCGGGCAAAGAGAAGTACTGTGAGAACTCTTATAATTATTAGTGTCTTCTAAATCAATCACCCTATGCCTACACAAGTTACCTGGAAATATATTAGGCATCTATGTGGGTTTCAAACAATTTGTGATGGACCTAGTGATTTTCTCTCATTGGGAATGGGTTGAGAGTGGATTGTACATGTTTGAGTGCTCAGGTGGTAAGTTAAGAGCTTTTTTCTGATTTAAGATTTATATCTTCAGTAGACATTTGTATACTGTCCATTTATCAGTAATTCTTTGCTGTTTTCTTTTTCAATGTTTTCTATGATGGCTACCCATTTGGAGTTCAGTAGTTTCTGTAAGAAATAGTGGACTTAAAAGAGTTATCATTTTCTTTTGTTAATGTATAACGATAATCATATGAGCCATATCCTACATCAGAAATGGTTTAAATAATTTTTTTTAAGTTATGTTGAGGAAACAAACAAAAATGTGCTTGTTTTTTTATTTATAGCATTCCAACAAATATACGAGTGCTTGTTCCTGGTGCTGGTTTAGGCAGGTTGGCTTATGAAATTGCACGGCGTGGTTACACTTGTCAAGGCAACGAATTCAGCCTCTTCATGTTATTTGCATCAAATTTTGTCCTCAATAGGTAGGTTATTATCAACCCATTTCATTTATTGTACACGTGTTCGTTTTTTTTAATTGATATGCGCATTTATATTTCATTTATTGTTCATTCATGTATTGATAGTGTGCAATTAAAAATGTTCTACAATATTTCTTCAATGTTTGTTTGAGTCTCGAATGAGTGCAGTCTAGAAAAACAGTAAGAAAACCCTACCTAATGTGCTGTGATATAATTGCCTGCCCCGATAATTGGCAATAAGACCCAGTTGGAATCTAGTTTTTCATTCAGTCTCCTAAACCTTTAAAAAACACCCTGAGAGGACCTTTGCGTTAAAGTGCATCCTTTCCTTTGTATCCTCTATTTCAGCATATGTAGTTCTTTGCAGCAACAGAAGCATGTCAGTAATCAATGATTCTTCACGACTGAAGAGAAAGTAAATGCCACTTTTTCCCTTAATTTCATTCCTGCCTGAAAGATATATAATTGCACATTAACATTGATAAGCGTGGTTAAATATTAAACTGTCTCATTGGAAATACAGGTGTGTATTTAAAAACTATGCAGTCTTGACACTAGTCTCCTGAGTAATGGGCACTTGATTCCATGGAATATTATTGCAGTTACTCTGGCCATACTCCTCATTACACCATACCTCAAAGGATTTATTGAAAACACTCTGCCAGCTCTGTACAGTGGCTCTGATAAATCATGTTGTGAATCTTCTTGACTATATTAAAAATTTCTGTCATTATATGTACCTAAAGTTCTGATATTATGTATAGATTGTTTATGAATATTCTGTCCTTCAACAAATCTCACAAAGAGCAACATATTGACAGATTTTGCAGACTAGAGACAGTAAATAATTACTGTATCATGTTTATAGCCTTTTCTTTCTCTTTGATATGTATCAAAATTTCTTCGATTAGCGTTACACCTCTTGTAGCTTTGCCTTCACTTCCTTCATCCCAGTAGCCCTTTCTTCTGTCTTGCATTTTCCTATGCCATCTTTTCACTCCTAATGTTCTCCGGTCTTCCGCTACAGCATCAATCCATCTGAGATGCCTTCCTCTTCTCTTTCCTGCCATGCTTCCTGTATACACCTTCTTTGGTACTCGATTGTTACCTATTCTATGGACTTGGTGAGCCCACTCCAGTCTTCTGATTTTAGCACTAACAACATTATTTAAGCACTTGTATAGTACACTTAATTCCAAGTTGGTCTTACTCCTCCACATCCCATCATGCTTAATAGGCTCATAAATCTTAAAATTTTCCTTTTTCCATACCATCAATTCATTTTCCATTTTCATGTGAGCATCCAACTTTCATATCCATATAAAACCACAGGTTTAATAACTATTATATACAGTATCTTTTTCGTGGATTTGGAGATATATCGTGATTTTAATATATTAAGGAGGTTCCCATAACAAATCGTGTCCTTTATCCTTGCTAAGTCTTTTTCCTTTATCAATCAGGCTACTATTATTTGGTTTCTGAATAATTTATTTTTACGATGTGGGTTGTTAGCTCAATGACCAACCATCTTTGTTCTGGGCCCGGCTTTTGTTTCGGGGTATGCTCACCATAAAGAGGAAATACACAGACAAACACTAGAAGAGAAAATTTGAAAGAAGAATATATTGTGTAAAAACAGGAAAGATTTGAAAGGAAAGACTTCGTAGCCCTTGCAACCCAATAGCATCAGGGTTGGAAAACAAGGGGGTCAGTGTGTCTTACAGTACAGTTGAAAGACGTGTTGCACAAGTAAGTGTAAGCAATGTCATACTAAAATAAAAGACCCTTCTTTATCCGGTCTTGGGACCGGCAGGGCTTGTTGGTAATTGCCAGGAAACACAGGTGGAGTTATTTATCAAAACAGAACGGTCACACACAAACTGTTTCAAAGCCAATCACTACCAGTTGCATACTGTATTTTGAACTTGGACATGTCTCTTTTGATTCCTTCTTAATGACAATGGAGGATGAAGAAATTTCGATAATCAGCATTGAATTTTTGTGTAACAAAGAAAATGGACTCTCCCATTGGATTGGTCCACATTGATGGAAACATGGGCCGCATCGAGGCAATTGACGGCTTGATCACACAGGAAAAAACTGTCTGAACTCTGCACTGTCATTCAATAGACACTGTAAGAAACCACCATTTCCCACCTTCATGTTCATGAAAGTTTTTTTGATTTCTTTTTTCTTCATAAATTAAAAATATAACTTACGTTTTACCCACTTGTAAAAATTAAGCATTTGAATTAAAAATGTCCTTTTGATATTTTGAATAAAGCCAGACTTTTCTTCCGTTCTTTTTGTAGATTTCACTGGGCTTGTTGAGAAACTTAACAATATGGTTGTAGTCTTTCTCTCTCTCTCTCTCTCTCTCTCTCTGTTGCACAATTCACAATTTCATTAGGTGTTGTGTACTAGCATCTCTCCAGAATTGGTGGCAGTAGTTAAGCTTTTAACATTTGTTCTGATTGATCTCTTCATTCTGCATAGTATTGCATTACATTCAGTACAGAGGGATGTGTGTTGCTTATTTCAGAAAAGTCAGCATCTCAATGAAAAGGAAGACATGTGTGACCATATCTAATAAATGACTAACATTTTGGAATTCTATGTTAATTTGCTTTGTAATTAACATTTAAGTTTTTTCTACAGATATAAATCTCATTATACATCTCTCAAATAATTGTAATAAAAATTATTATAAAAGTATTTGAAAATGTATTTTTCGTTTCTTCTGTAACTACTGATTACATTCCTACTACAGGCCAGTGAGTTGCAGAAGAGTCCTTGAATGTATATGTGAGGTCTTTTAGAGATTGGGGTATTTCCTCTCCAGCATTTTACATTATCTCCCTGTCTTTGCTAAGCTCCAAAGGGATTTCTATAGCATTGACGAGTGGGGACCCAAAGCAAGTTATTTCAATTGTTCTATGTCATCACTATAGTTTGTGTCTGAAATTTTCCTTCTGCTGATTTTGCAAGATTTGAGGGTTATGATTGAAGATGTGTATGGAAAGGCTTTTAAAGTTTTTGCCACCTTGCTGTGGGTCTCAATGTGACTTGCTAGTTGCTAGCTTGATGTCCTAGGGAACTCATATATCTCCTGTTAGAGTGGTTGGTGTAAAGGCTGGCGTGTATGCCTTCCAGCATTAGGACCCAGGTTTGATCCCAGATTTTGTGGAATTTATGAGGGATAAAAGGAGCTTGCAGCAAGTTTACTCTTGGTTCTCCTGTTTTTCCTTCCTTTTGTTAAACTATTACTCTGTTATTATTCACATAATCATTTTTATTGCTATCATATTTTCATTACATCTTTACTCGTGGGCCTCAATTACCTTTGTTGTTGAAGGGATCCTAAACCTTAAATAAATAAATTAACAGGCTCTTGCACTTGCAGGAATAAACTCACCTCTACAGGGATAAAACACTGGCCAGGTTTTGTTTAGATGTCAAGCTTCGGTAAGGTCAGAACAAAAACATCCTCATATCTTTAAAGAAATTGTGATTAAATATTTAAGTTATTTTTAATTTCTTTTGTCTAACTCGTTACAGTCAACATTGGTAGAAATATTTTAAGATCAAGGTTTTTGGATCTAATACAGAAATTTAAAACAGTGATGACTGTATAATTATGTAATTAGGTTTCTTTCTCAGATTTTAAGAAACGGTTTTCTTGAAGTGATTAAGGCCACATGTTGAAATGTTTTCTATTAAGTGTCCAATAATTTTCTGCAAAAAACTTCAAACTAAATTAAAACAAGAAACTTATTTTTTGTTTTTCACAAGAATTGTTTATTATGTTATCTTAATTTTCATTTCATATCAAACTCAAAGTTTGTTAAATTTTAATTCTTTGAAGAGAGGTGGAAGAGAAGAGATTGTGTATTTGAAGTTGGAGTAATTTTTAAACCTTACTAAATTATGCTTCCTGTCTGTACTCCATGAGAAGTTTGCTCAAACAGTTGATTTTAGAACAAATGCATTTCTTCTCACTCTAGAACAGGTTTTGGAGAACAGAAAATCTATGTTTTTGCTATAGCTCTCCTGTACTGCAAATTGCTTTATAGGGGAGAAACGTTTTTGAAGACAGTAGATTATACTCTTAATTAATTTTGAATACTTCACTTGTGTTGTCTACAAAAATTCAAGGCCAGTTAATTGTTCCTGACCACTTTCTGGTGATTCTCTTAAAATTGGACCATTCCAGGAGTACTCCTGCATGTACGTCACTGTGTGACCTGCTTTATACCAATTACATTAGACAAATTACTTCTCTTCTATTAGCATCATGGATTTGGACACTCATATCAATGTGCATGCCTGCTCAAATAGCATTTTTTTAAGAATTTGAAATTCACCTATGCATTCTCATATTTATAATAATTTGAGTTACAAATATCTTGAAATGGAAAATTTTACATGTTTAATTGCACTTTGTCAACAGATGTCGAGGCACAAACCTCCATAAAGTGTATCCCTGGGTGCATCAATTTGTAAACAACCTTGCTGCTGCTCATCAGACAGAAGGTGTATCATTTCCTGATATCAACCCTGCAGAGCTTCCAAGCGATGCACACTTTTCAATGGCAGCAGGAGACTTCCTGGAGGTTAATTTCTATATGAATTTTTGGAGATAATTTAAAAATACAAAAAGAAATCAAAACAATAATAATATATTTGTGTGAAAATTAATTTTAAAATTAATTTTTACTCTTGAAATTATGTACTATTCAATTTATTTCTTTAAGCTGAAAGATTTAATTTATTATAAATTTTTTACTTCCAATGTTAGGAAGAAACTCATTTAAAAAACTTGAAAATTTAAGGATTTATTTTGAAGAGACTAGTGAGGGATCTCGTGCAGATTTGAGGAGAAATGAAATCTTACAATTTACAGTGTTTCAGATAAATTAAGAATTACAAGGTTTTTCTTCTAAATAGTAGTATATTTAAATTGCATTCGTTTCTGTATTAGTGTGTCAAATTATTTGTTCAACCCGTTGATTCAAATATGCATTTTTAATAGGTGTTCTTTTTTGTACAGGTATACACTGACAATGATGAGTGGGATTGTGTTGCCACTTGCTTTTTTATTGATTGTGCCAATAACATTGTGGCCTTTATAGAAACTATTTACAACATTATTAAACCAGGTATATCAAATAACATTTATTGATACTAGGTCTGTAAATATATTACAAGCTGTCCTACATAATTTAATCCAAATTGTTCTGCATCAACTTGTAGGCTTGGTTAAGGAGTCACGTGTGTAATATTAATGTTCTGTAGGAGCACAAGTTTGAAATCTCCCTTGTGGGAGGAGCTTATTTTTGCGAGCTTCTCCCACCACTGTTATTGTGACAGATTTCTTGGCGTAGTGCGTGTATGCATGAATTAGTCACTTTCCCCCAGCAAGAAGTCATCAATGTCACTGCAGCTTTGACTATCCCTTTCAGCATTGTCGTCCTCAGAGGAACTGTCCCGTAAAGAAACAATAATTTTGTCCACTTCTTCGTCCATGATCGTGTCTGTTTTCATATATTCTTCTTCGATTTTCTTCACATGTTCACAACACTTCTTTCATCAATATAGGCAGTTTTCAGAGAATAATGTTCAGCATTTATTTTCTTTAGCTCGCAGATGTTTTGTTTAGCAACATGATTCTTATTGTGAACCCATGAAACTAATTCAGTGGGATTGAGATCAGGATGGTAAGAAGGGAGCTTGATGTTGAGGCCACATTACCTGTGAATGGTTGTCTTAGAAACAGATAAGAAACAATATTATGCCTGTGAACTTCACTTGAAATTAGGCCTACACTAAGAGAGACCAAACTGCACAGCTCTCAAAGTTCTAATGGATAGGACTGAGCACCAGGGACAATGCTTCTTTTACTGATGTTTCTTTAATCAAACCTTAATATATTAAGAGTGGGCGTTTGTACATAGACATCTAAAATTGTTTTGATCTAGATAGCCCACACTTACTGCACGTTGTTCGCAGACACAACTATACCTATGCATTCAGACTCTCCTCCCTTCTCCACTATGGTTGGTGCACAATGTGAGAGAGACAGAGAGAGATATTTTCAGTTGAAGTAGTGGTTGATGGTGAGAGTCACCCCTCCTCCTGTATGTGCATTCAAAAGGAAGTTACAAAGTTGTCCTACTATAACAGTGTGTTTTTATATGATTTACTTGAAATTGGAAGATTTGAATTTATTTTCTTGCACTGTTATTTTAATAGTGTGAAGATGTGAACAGTTCATAATTTTGTGCATGTACAAAATTCAATATAGTTGTCATCTCCTTAATTACAGACTGGTTTTCTAGCAAAAAGATTATATATTCTAAGAGAAGTGAAATTCGTTATGACAATTATGTAAGGTTAGGCAATACCCATGGATGGAGGCCTGACCATTAAGAAATAAGTAGATGTAGGCTAAGAAGAAATATTTGTCACAAATTTAATAGTGTTAATATATCCAACACATTAACCTTAGGATTTTGATATGATTTTAATATTTTTTTCTCGCTGCACTACATGGGTTCTACTGCAATACAATTGCAATACACCAATAGAAATAAAAAATTTTAAAAAGTTGTCTTATTATTCTAGAGAACAAATTCTTTATTCATTTCTCAATTATTTTATTCTCAAAGAATAAATAAGAACCTCTTACAAGCTTGTATCCTTATTTTCTTGTGTCTGAGAGAGTAGTGTAATTCCTCTATTTAGAGTTTTATCTCAAGAATGAATGAACAGGAATTAATGTAAAATTTTGCATGCTTTCACAGGTGGGTTATGGATTAATTTAGGTCCACTTCTGTACCACTTTTCTGATGTTCCTGATGAAGACTCAATTGAGCCAAGTTACGAAGTTGTTCGGGATGTGATTCAGAAGATAGGATTCACAATTGAAGTAAGATTGATTTGTTGTATTATTTCAAATAAAGAAAATCTTGATTTGTTTGAAGCACTAATTTTTAGTGTTGTAATGTTGTAGGGGTCTTCGCTAACGCATGAACCAAAAGTGATTGATTGATTTTCTACAAAATTGAGATTCCCCAAGCGATGTGAATGAACTCAAGACCTTGTGGTTTATTTTTTGATACTCTAAATGAAGCCTTAATTACATTTTCAAAATTTTCTCTAACATGGCTCCAAAATTTTGTCCTTGGATAGTGTGAGGAAGTCTTAAAAAAATGGCCTGTGTCTCATTTTCTGTGAATTCTTTTTCTGAATTTCTTTTCAAAAATTCAAGAAAGTTCAAATTTTTTTCACTACACTTCACAACTACAATTTTTAAGATAGAGATTTTTTCTTAACGAAATCTCTTGTTCAAAAACAGATAGTGAAATACTGGTAATTTTTAAACAATTATTTCCTCAAAAACTGCTCAAAATTTTTTCTTTATTTTAGTTTTCCCATATGTAGCAGAAAATTATAAAGAAAACTGCTAGTATTTTCAGTGATCAATGTCCTTTTGAAAATTGCAAAAGTACAATATTGATGATATGAGATATGAAATCTGTTCTAAAAAATCAATTCTTTAAAGAAAGGTCATGTACCATGAATGAATTAAAGCCCGTTGTCAGCTGCCTACAGGATACATATCTTTCTGAAAGTTCCCTCTCTCTTCGTGGCTTTTGCTGCTATAGGCAAGGCAGTGGTGATGGCTTCCGGGCACGTGGAGGTGACGTTACATTAGTCACACTCAGACGTTACATTAGACTCCCTGGTGGCAAACAGCAAAGAAATAGCTGTGCGAACCACTCTTCAGACATCTTGCGTTCGTGTGAACTTCCGCACTATATCAGTAACTATTTGCAACGTCTGTATCCCGCCTGGACAAGTCGTGTCGCAAAAAGAACTTGAAGCTATGTTATCTCAGTTGCCCGCCCCTTTCGTAATGTGAGGGACTTCAATGCCCACAACCCTCCCTGGGGTAGCACTAGGATCTGCTCGAGAAGCAATATACTTGAAAATATTATTGACAACCAGAACTTAATTCTTCTGAATACTGACGAAAGCACATATTTCTCTGTTGCTTCAAACACTTTCTCGTCCGTCAATCTGGATCTCTGTATTCCATCTCTCTCTGCCATCATTGAGTGGACTATCCTTGGCCACCTGCACGGCAGTGACCATTTCTCCTTTCTGGTCAATTTCAATCTTCCTGACCCAAACGTTGCTCATCCCCCTCTCTGTCTAACTGAGCTGAATGGGAAACATTCGAGAAAGAAATACGGATATCGGAAACCTACCCAAACGATATTGATGCTATGGTTGCCCATTTTACCAATGTCGTTCTCCATGTGGCCTCAATTGCCATCCCGGAGTCATCGGGTCACCCACGACATCCTCCCGTTCCATGTTGGAATGCCAACTGTGCCACTGGGGTGTAGGATCGGAAACGGGCTTTCGCAAAGCTTATTAGGTTCCCAACCATGGATAATCTGATCAATTATAAAAGATCACATACAATAATGAGAACGAATTGCAATTTATGTTGTTAATAGAAATATTACACAAATACTGTAGATTGAAATTAAGACTTGAACCTAAGACTCAGCGATAACGCTGCTACATACAGCATCAGGATAATAGAATTATCATAATGTGGAAAGAGTTCTGATCAATTTGAAATTAATAATTCAAATGTCAGCGGCATAATTACTGATCATCTGCTTTTCAGTTCATGAAAATGTACATTTTCTCAGTATTTTGCATTAATGTTTGTTACTAATATTTCGAGTGAAATTTTTAATGAAATAATTATGAGTCATCTTTGCCAACGATATTAATTATAACTAATAATTAACAATAACTAATTATATAATTAACAATAACTAATTATATAATTAACAATAACTAATTATATAATTAAAAATAACTAATATTTTCGGCAATGACAACTCATATAATTATTTCATTGTAAATGCCAACAAAAACTCACAACAATACCAATATGAAATTTTTTAAACCAATTTAAAATGGTTCTCTTTGTTTTCCAGAAAGAAGAGAAGAACGTGCGCACATCTTATGCACAAAATCCACGGTCTATGTTGAGGTATGAATACAATAGTGTGTTTCTTGTGTGTCGGAAGCCACTTACTGCCTCTCTTCAAACGAATGAGGTTGAATCAGGGAATCAAAGTTCTTTTGTAACAACGGACTGTCCTATGTCTCCAAGATCACCAGCTCCTCCTGTGGATGGTTTTCGAGATTCTGGATTTGATTCAACAGTTAACTCTGCTTCATCTGCTGTGGTTTGCCCAACCAGTAAAGAATAGCTATTTTGCTCAAAGTATGATGTGCAACTGGATGGCAGGAATTCATCAGTTACCTTTGCGTATGCCTGTGCTACAGGAACTCAAAAAAATTTCTAGTTATTTGCAAACACATTTTTTTAAATATACATCTGACGAAATGGAATTCCTTTTCATCCCAGCATTTTCTTTTTCTTTTTGCATTTATTTATGGAACTTTATTCTGACCCTGCTTCTAACAGACATTAAATTATTGATATTATTATTCAACTTCTCACCCTCTGCTTCCCTCATCCTCTCTGAAAATCAGAAAATTTTTATTTAACAACGAAAAAAAGCAACACATAACTCGCACACATATGATATGTACATATGTATATGTATGTATTGGTGCCCATAAGCAATAATTCTTTGAAAATCCATCTGCTATGAGAATAGTGATTGGAACAACCTAGAAATGACTAATGTATAATTTTCAGGGTGAAGGATAAATCGTGCTGGAAAATTATTTGGTAATTTACTGTGAATATATCTTGCCTTGAACACTCTGTAAAGAATGTAAGACTAAAATCACATTGCTGTTGTATAAATCTTTTTCACTTCTTTGGATTAAATTTCTTTCTTTACACTCTTTTCCCCTTTTCATTCTAATCCTGTCTTTCTTCCTTCTTTCTTTACTTTTTAATTTTATTGTAACAAGTTTTCAATTTTGTGTGAAAAGGTCAATTACTCCATGGTAATGCTCCTTAACTCTACTGCACATTATGTTACACCTTTGTTTTTGCAGTTAAGTTATAGAAATTCATACTGTTAGCTTCCCTTGTACAACAATGGCTGCTACTTATTAAATTTAAGTAAAAAATCTAGTCTAGGCAGCAATATAAAATTAATAGTTCCTATATCTAAATGCAGCTATGTAGATGCCATGAAACTCAGCAACAGAAATTTCTGCCGTTGGGATAAAAGTGATTTGTGTTCCAAACAACAATGTTGATGTTATAGTGAGTGTACAATTCAAAAGGAGTCTACTTTTTAGAATATTAAAATTCAAGAAATAATAAGTAAGTAGCAGCTTCTTTAAATGAATGTTTAATGCATTTTTAATTTTTTTATATGCTCAAGAAGTTCCAAGTATTCTCAGACAGATTTGAGTGTTGAAGAATTGTTGCTGTTGGGCTGAAAAGGTTTCATTCATATTTCATTTGATTAAGTTCACTGAGACATACTTAGTACATGTAAAATCAATGAATAATTAAAAACCATAGGTGATATTCCAAAGGTGTTAATAATTATTATGTGGTGGATTTGATGTTGAAGTCTTTATAGACTTTAAAATCATTCAAATGAACTAATATTAAAAGAGGATCAATAGAAAAAGTATGAATTTAACAAGACTGTTCATAATACCTTATTATAAGGAACAGTTTTAACAATAAACATGTATTGAATGTAATGATATACAGTACATAATTAGAATTTAAGTGAACTTGTATTTACAGAATCTTACTGAGTAGGTTTTTATTTTCAAGAGAAATATTCTTGCATTACTTTTCTAGTAAATCAGTTGGCATTGTAGGAACTTGAGTTATTGAATGTGAATTAAAGTAAATAATTACAGACAACTGAAAGTTTTACCAAATAATCTGTATTTTACTTAATTTTAGCTGGAAAGTACCATGGCTAGCAATGGGGTGAAATTAATTGAAAAAAATAGTGTTAATGACAGAGACCTGTTAGTGAAGAACATGAATTCTACCTTATAATTGTGTATTGGTGTTGTTAGTTGTTAAAGGTAAATTATGAAACACACTGGGAGTATCAGGTATAAGAGAGATGTACATTTTGTTTTTGTTATGTTTCATGATTCCCACTATTCCTCTCTTCCCTCCCTCTCTGACCTCCCATTCTCTCACAACACACACACACACTGAACTACTTTTGACTCATATTTTCTAGTTATCAAATGAGAAGCATTCCTGCTATATTGTGAAGTATTTTTACTGTAGATTTGATGTAGTATTGTTCAAAACAATGAGATGTTAAAAATTACTTCTGTGAAGACTTGCAAACAATCAGTGCATGAACAAACCTACAATGTCTTATTGATTTGAACCTTACTCATTCAGGACAGAGTAGGGCTCAGTGGTCAACCTACAGTATTTCCAGGACTGTCTATGGTGTGAACTTTTCACTGACAATATAAATTTAACATCACTGACAAAGTTTGCCTCATGTATGTCAACATTTGTTCTCTCTATGAGACAAAGTGTCGTTACAGTCACTAAAATTAAAAATTTAGCTCTCTTATAAAAGAGTTCTTATATTGTTGTCATTTTTATTAAGCTAAGAATTTCCAATGTGTGAAAACAAGAGAGTTCTGGGGCGGGGGGGAGCATGGCAGTCTAACTCACTATTGATAGAAATATTCAATTTTACAAACTATCAAATGCCATGAATTCAGTCTTTATCATCCTGAAAATTGAAAATAAATCATCTTGAAGTGCAAATTGATAGGAAGAATTTGGAGTAAGTTTTAAGCATGAGGCATTCAATTTCAGTGCATTGAATGTGAAAAGGCATTAACTTATGAATATTTATAATAGAAGAAAATCTTTAATTACACTCTTTATGGAATATGGATGAGATGAAAAGAACATGAGGGCCAATATCGTTACGAAATAGGATATCTGGCAGAAAAACATTGAGCTAGTTGTCCAAAAATTAAGTCCACAAAAGATGAAGGGGGTGATATTTTGTTCAGACAGCAAAAATTAGCAAATTTGTGATAGGAAAGAAAAATCAGTTTTTATGGGTAGAAAAAAGTTATATTCAACCATTGCCATTGAATTGAAAAGAGGAAGCTACATAATGCACCCAAAGAAGCAGTCTAAAGATTGATATAAGTAACTAGATTAAAATTGTTTATTTTATTTCTATACCCAGAGGTAAAGGACACCATGTCACAATTTTGTAGTTGTTCAGGAGAGTTGATATATAGTACAATTTTGAGTTATTAAAAGTTGTTTCTTCATTACTAATAGAAAGTGCTTAGTGAAACTTTTACACATTGTTATTGGTGGTCTTAAGTCAATGGGACGTTTCTTAGTTTTTATTTATAACATATTTTGTTAACATAGTGATGTATAATTCTAAGTGTCAACTATGTTATGTTCTAGAGACATAATGTATCAGTATTATATTGTTTAAAAATTATTTTCACTATTTATAAGATTGTTATTGTTTTATTTATTGCATTAGGTATAATGATAGGACAAACCTAAAGTAGTAAAAATATAGTTTAATACGGAACAAAACATTTCCAAGTTATGTACATAAACATCAGTTCAGTAGTATTAAAAAAATGTATTAATTTGGCCGAGATAACTATTGTCATATCAGTTTAATCATCAAATTAATCACTTATTATTACTTGCTGAATAGTCTCCAATTCTTGGAATTGGTTTTTGGCAGATACTTGTTAAATCCTTGGCGTATACTAGGAATGAAAGGCAACACAGAAACAAGGTCCTTGTATTTCTCTTGGGACAGCTTTCTTAAGTGGAAGACTTGCGGAAATGTAGGCCGGCCCTCAACAGGTCAAGTTTCTTTTTTCTATTAGCATGTGTGTGGTATCTGCTTCCAAGGAACTTTATGTTGACACATTGTATTTGAGGAATTTTTGCATAAATCAGAAAAAACACAAGATAGTGAAAATAATTTTCTTTTGGCCAAAGCAATTATGACAAATATGTTCTAGTATTGACATCTGAATAAGTAATTAAAATGTCGGCCCATTTCAAAATAGCAGATTAAATTTCCTCTCTTTTTTGCCACCTTTAGATTTGTCCCACATGCAATTTGTATTTCTATCAGATGAATAAACAAAACAAGTCCATATAGCGACCATTTCCTCGGATGAAAATGAATATGATTTCATTTTCCATTGCCTTATCTTCATTATTTATGGGAACACGACAGTGTCCTCTACCATTGTATAGATCAAAAAGTCCACATTAAGGACATGGAGTTCAGTGAATTTCATAAATAATGGACATGGTGTCATTTATCTCCATGATATAGATTTGTGATTGGGGTTGAATCATGCTGACCACATAGCCCTGGTCTTCTCTTCCCGTGTTCTTACAACCAATTAATGTTTGTCATGCCTTTATTGTCTTCTATTCTGCATTACTTCAATGTAAACGTGTAGATAAATGGATTTGAAAGTCCTTTTTTCTTGACCAGTGCCTAAATGAACTGTAGATATTGAGATAATAAATACACTTCTCATTACATCTCTGAAGATCGTACTTGAAGCTGTTTGTGGACTGCTTAGTGAAATCCAAGGAATCAGGATTTATGAGTGAGATATAGTAATGCAAGTAGAGCTCTTGCCTAGTAAGGCAGATCCTAGATTCATAGAAACTCGTTTGTCCTTGACACCTGTTGGGAAACCATTAGTGAAGTGTTTGAGGAGTAAGTTGCATCACTTAATGCTGATTGTCTCCTTCAGGTACCAAAGCATAACACATGTGGGAGCCTTAACCCCATAAACCCCAAGGACTCTCAAGGCCTGTAGCGTGACAGCTTAATTTTTCTATTTTCTTAATTCTTAGTGAAAATGTCTTAGATGTAGTTTATTGTATATACTTCATTTTTAAAACAAGCATTTTATAAAATTATAAGTAAATTTTTGTAGAATATGATGTAGATCAATTTGATAGAAGACATTATACACCTAAGAATCAAGAATGCATTTAAGTGAATTTACACATGCAATTTTCATTGATTAAGGGAAATGATTTTAGAGAACTACCATACTTGTTTGTTTTATGTAGCAAAATGTCTTTCCGCAAATCCTTTTAAGAATTATAATTTTTTTATTTCATTGTACGCTGAATTTTTTCTTGTATGTAGGAGTGCTGTAATGTACTACAAGATTCTTAGCAATTTTGATTATATAAAGCATTCCATGGAGTGGTGTTTGACAATTTTACTACATCATTTATTATTATTATTATAAG